TATGACGAAAAGCATGTAAATAGTTACCTTGACACCGGTTTAAAGCTTGTTTCCAAGCTTTTCCACCGTCCAGAATCCAAATATGAGCAAAAGAAGCAACCTTTACGATTCACTTGTGGATAAAATCAAAACTATGAAGTTTGTGTTTATGAAAATGAGAGTTATGAGGATTGTTTAGATGAAAATAGAGAGGAAATGAAAGGAGATGAAGTATTGTTTGTTTAGAAAGTGAAATAAGTGGTTGAAATTTCATAAACACAAGCTTAAAGAGCTCATCAATGGTGGTTTTGGGTGATTGCAAATATTGATGACAATGGCATTATGGTAAATAAGGAGAAATGTTTAGGGTGTAATAGGTTTTTAATAATTTTCGAAAATAAAATCAGATTTAAAAATAATGGCAATTTGGTAAATATGTGGAAACATGAGGAGATTTTAGGTTTTTTAAGAGTGAATAGTAATGGACAGAAAAAAAAGAGGTTGGTTTTGTGTTTGACTTGAATTTTTGGGTTGGTTTTGCAAAACCCCCAAAAATAAAATCTTGATCCTAAAAGTTATGTGGGACTTTAACAGTTTTAGTAGTTTATACTCATTTTGAAAAATTCGAAATACAACATACATAAAAAAATCTAGATTTTTATTATATGATTAATGTAATTGTGTAATTTATTTTAATAATAAATAAATAAACAAAATGAGAAAAATTATATAGATTGTTATCAAATTTTTATTGTTTAAAATCATTAATTGTCATATATATATTTTAATCACATTAGGTAATTCCATAGGTTTTATTTAAGGAAAGCATGCGAAACAATAAATATTTGATATATGGAACCAACTATAGCGTACGAAATATTATATTTCTAGAAAATATAATTTTTAGACTATATATTATATCACATGCTATAGAATCTTTAGAATTTGAAATAGAAGCTAAAGAGATATATGCTACGTAGGATTTGAGTTATTTTTAATTCTTACAAATTTAAGGTTACAACTTTTTAAATGATTTTCAAAATTAATATATAGGAGATGTTAGAGCTATTCATCTTACCATCGAGCATACCACTAATTATAACCATTGAAAGCTTTTAGATTTGAATTAGTGAAATTTGTGCATGAGAAAAAGAAAAAAAAAAGTAATAGATGGTGTTGTTTAGGGAAATAGGTGTTGTTGTGTCCATTGGGCTTTAATTAAATGAAATGATGAAAAAATACCAGTTACCTCGTTGTAATCTTTTTTTTGTTTCTTCTTCTTCTTGCTGGCGAAGTATACAAACATCAAAAGAAGCTTTTGATTGAGATCGAAAGAGACAGCCATGGCGGGTCGTTTCGGATCGCAGGTGATGACGATGACGGTGACCAATACCCCGTCTGCAGATCTAGCCTTCACTAACCTCGCTTACTGCTCCTCTGCCGATCTCCGTCAGTTCTCCGTTCCCGGTTCCGATCTCTTCCTCGCCAACGTCGCCGACACCTTCATTCTCTCTCTCTGATATCCTTTCCTTCTCTGTTAACTCCATTTGTTAATTGTTTCTATGAATGGCTAAGTGAAGTTGAGGTTTCAGAATAATTCAAATTAATTTTGTTAGGGAAAATGTTCTGCTATGAGATTTTGAAGGATATAGACAGTTTTAGTAAGAACGTTAATAAAATACTATATCACTCGAAATTTGTTGTGCTGTTGCACGATAACTACTCTTAAGTCCTTAATTCATCACTGAAGATACTATTTTATTTGAATTTTGGTGTTTTTATTTGTTCAACTTAACTGGTAATTACTGGGCATGGAAGCATCCGTGATGGAAACATTGCTCTCAATGCTATTCAACGGAGGCATGCTAGGGTTTCCACTGGTGACATGGTATCTATTAGCAGGTCAATTATTATTATTCAGCATGTTTAAAATTAATCTTCTTGCCTCTCGGATTTTTTTATTTAAAGACTGCCTTGTTCTTGCAGATTTGTTCCCCCGGAGAACTTTGAGCTGGCTATGTTGACACTCGAGTTGGAGTTTGTTAAGAAAGGGACTAAAAGCGAGCAGGTTTGTTGATATCTCTTGTGCTTTTTGCAGGCTGTGACTGAGTGTAAGCTTCTCTGTACAATGTTTCTTCACAGGTTGATGCTGCTCTCCTTTCAACCCAACTTAAGAGGAAATACACCAACCAGGTAGCTAGATTCTTGTGACTGTTCTTGTTAAATATTTTGTTTTGTTTCTATAGATACACTAGTCTCGTGTTGTGGCTGTGGCATGCATCTAAGAGGAATATGAAAGGAATTATGATACCCTAAACATCTAAGGTCTATGTAAAAAAATTAGCTGGTTAGCTTTCAATTGAAGCAGTGTTTACGGATCTTGTCATTTTCATTAGTATTCTGGTGCAGCAAGAGTTTTGGTGAATGCATTTGGTGACTATTCTGCAAATCCTGTAATATTTTCCTTAAGGTTATTTGCCCTTGTGTTTCTTGATTATGTTATATCAGTTATATAGTTATTTGGCCTTTAGTTCTTCACAAAAAATAGTAGCCCTTATTTATTGGAACAATACACACTACTGCAGGTCTTGACTGTAGGCCAGAAAGCGACGTTTGAGTATCACGGAACTAATTACATTCTTACCGTCAATCGAGCGGATGTAGAGGGTCAAAATCAATCAAATGGCATCGAAAGAGGGATGCTTTCTCCAGATACATATATTGTGTTTGAAGCATCAAACGCAAGTGGCATAAAGGTGTGATTTCGATTAATTTTGTAGAGCTATGTGTTGTGGAATCAGTTTCTAAGAATTCCTCTCAGTTGATGATTTAATTTTACATTTGAAATGGTAAACATGATATTACTTCTAATGTTGTGATTTTATGGAAACAAATGTAGGTTGATATTTTGTATCATCAATTTTTAACTTGCACGTTCTTATGCAGATTGTTAACCAACGGGAAGCTGCTAGCAGCAATATATTTAAACATAAGGAATTTAACCTTGAATCGCTGGGCATAGGTGGTCTGGGTGCAGAGTTTGCTGATATATTTAGAAGAGCTTTTGCTTCTCGTGTATTTCCTCCTCATGTCACGAGCAGGTTTTGTGATTTATTCTTTGACAAATGTTAGACTTTCTGCATATATTTCCCTCTTCAGGTTATTTTCTTGATCCTGCAGACTGGGGATAAAGCACGTTAAGGGAATGCTTCTTTTTGGACCTCCTGGTACAGGCAAGACCTTGATGGCACGGCAAATTGGAAAGATGCTGAACGGGAAGGATCCAAAGGTATTTCTGATGAATCTGGTTACATGATTAGATGGACACCTTTTGCGAAAACCTGTTACTAACTATTTAATTCTCACGGTTTTCTTCATACATTGCACCTTCAGACTCTATCTCAATTGGTTGATACAATTTTTACACCCTTTTAATGTCTAGTTAACTTAGTTGATTCACTGCTTTTGTTCCAGAAACTTACATGTTTAATGCTTCAGTTTTTTTTTTTTACTGGCAATAGATCGTTAATGGTCCTGAGGTGCTGAGCAAGTTTGTTGGTGAGACAGAAAAGAATGTTAGAGACTTGTTTGCTGATGCTGAGCAAGACCAGAGGACCCTCGGTAAGGAAACTTTCTTTTCCCTGATCTGTGTTCGTGTGTATTCATTTTCCTACGCTTATTGGGCAATCTTACTTTCTTTCTCAGGTGATGCTAGTGAGTTGCATGTCATTATTTTTGACGAAATCGATGCTATCTGTAAGGTACGCTGACTTTAATGTATAAGAGACAAATTTTTCCCACTTTGAAGATGTAAATATATTTTTAGTTTTGATAACCAGCCCCACTGATTCGGAGGAATAGAGTTTATATATTGTTAATTATTTTGGATGTGCTTATATGAGTTTAAACTTAAAATTCAATTTCCATGCTTTGTGATTTTCAGTCAAGAGGCTCAACCAGAGATGGCACAGGTGTCCATGACAGTATTGTAAACCAGCTTTTAACAAAGGTCAGTCAAAGATCAAGCTACTGTTTGTTTGTTTGTTTAGTGTTTTCACGGATGTGGCTAACATTTTTTAAAATCCAGATAGATGGTGTGGAGGCCTTGAACAATGTTTTGCTTATAGGAATGACAAACAGAAAGGATTTGCTTGATGAAGCTCTTTTAAGGTATCTCTGTCCTTGTGGTAATAGATAGCGCTGGTGTTTCTTTTATACTTCCGTGAATGTTTTGAAATAGTTTTTTTATTGCTCATTGGGAAGATACCATCCAGAGCATATTTACTTATGAACTTTAAGATGAGTACTGCATGCGACTTAAGAACTATTGTTTTTATTATTGAGTATAGGCCTGGAAGATTGGAGGTTCAAGTTGAGATAAGCCTTCCTGATGAAGCTGGGCGCCTACAAATTCTTCAGATTCACACAAACAAGATGAAGGAAAATTCATTCCTGGGTCATGATATCAATCTCCAAGAACTTGGTATGGCTTCCTTGAATGTACTTGTTCAAATCATGGAATGTTTGGTAATATCACCGCTTCACTGAATACAAGATAAATTTATTTTCGAACTTCTCTTGTATTTTGTATTAGGAAGGTGTAAGATATTCAGTCTTCATCTTTGCTTACTTGCTAGCATAAATTTGTCGCTGACATGAAATGTCAATATTATCTGACAGCTGCTCGAACAAAAAACTACAGTGGTGCCGAGCTTGAAGGGGTTGTTAAAAGTGCTACATCGTATGCGTTAAACAGACAATTAAGCATGGATGATCTTACAAAGCCAGTGGAAGAAGAAAATATCAAGATCACTATGGACGATTTTCTCCATGCAATCCACGAAGTTCAGCCTGCCTTTGGAGCCTCCACAGATGACCTGGAGCGCTGCAGGTAATTAATTTTCTTTACTATGCGTATGGTGGTCTTGACTATTTTTCGGATATTTCTTGATGGAATGGGCCTTTCGCACATAACTGATATTAGTTACTAGTCCAAACTTAATGCTCGTCTTTCCTGTGAGTCATGTTGATAAAACGCAATAGTAAGTTTATTACCCGGGGCCTGCTTTTAAAAAAAAAATCTTTTTAGGAAATTTTCATGGACTTCTGAAAATTGTAATTAGAGGGTACCTTTTGGAGTTGATGTAAACTGGTCTTTGGAGCCAAACTTTCGCCTCACATTAGATAAAGGAGTCGTTCCTAGTAGCTATTTAATTCATATCCGTTGTTTCCTGTCCAATCCATTTGTATTTACAGCGACCACTTGGCATGCATGTATGACATGGTTGTGATTTACCTGTGCCTTCATTTTTTATAATCCTGACATGTATGCAGACTTAATGGGATGGTGGATTCTGGTGATCGGCATAATCACATTTACAAAAGAGCTATGCTTCTAGTTGAGCAGGTTAAAGTTAGTAGTAGAAGCCCTCTAGTCACTTGCCTTTTGGAAGGGCCCAGTGGAAGGTAACCTCCGTAGTTATTTTTTTCTGGTTGGCTGTTTTGTAAGACTTTGCTGCTTTTTTAAAGCTGTTTTTTTTTTCTGGGGCAGTGGTAAAACTGCTTTAGCTGCTACTGTTGGTATCGATAGCGACTTCCCATATGTTAAGATTGTAAGTGTCAGATCTTTCTTTGTACAATATGTAATCTTATTAGACCTTATCGCCTGTGTTATACTGATTCACTATTTTGTAGGTCTCTGCGGAAACTATGATTGGTCTTCATGAGAGCACAAAGTGTGCTCACATCGTCAAGGTCTGTTGTTTGGAAAGAACTCTTTATATGTTCTTGTTATGTTCTGTAAACGACTGACAATCTATATTGGTATGACTGAGACAGGTTTTTGAAGATGCATATAAATCACCAATGAGCATTATCATCCTTGATGATATTGAAAGGTTGTTGTTATCTGCTACCTATAGCATACTTTTTAGTTTCCTTCTCGCTGCTTACTTGCTTAGTGCTTGAATTTCTGAAAAATGCAGATTGTTGGAGTACGTAGCAATCGGTCCTCGTTTTTCAAACATCATTTCTCAGACGTTGATGGTCCTTCTCAAACGACTTCCTCCGAAGGTGCTGCTTCATTCACCACCGTTTTGCAGTCCTCTTATGCTTGATCATGACTTACAGTCAAAATATGTTTGATTTGGTTTCTGACAGGGGAAGAAACTTCTGGTATTTGGGACAACAAGTCAACTAACATTCTTAGATTCTGTTGGTATCTGTGAGGCCTTCTCTATCACTTACTCTGTTCCTACGTTGAAAACAGAAGACGCAAAGAAGGTAAAATAGTCTTTACAAACTCATTTTCTGCTTCATATATCTCGTGAGCTATATCTACTTTTGAATTTTTATTCCAATTAAATCCAACTATTTTACCTTCCGACTGGAGTTGGCAAAAATGAATAGTATAGTTTTAGTTAAATCAATTCTTGATTCTTGAATTGGTTTAATCCTTCGTTTTTTTTATTTCTATCAGGTGCTGAAGCAGCTCAATGTCTTCTCAGAGGATGATATCGATGCAGCTGCTGAGGCTCTCGATGATGTATGTTTCTAAAATAGTTTTTACTTTTTGGCATAGAAATGAAACTAACAAAAAAATATATATATAGAAGAACAGTCGTTATGTTTATGCTAACTTGGTGTTTGTACGGCGCAGATTCCAATCAAGAAGCTGTACATGCTAATCGAGATGGCGGCACAAGGAGAAGACGGTGGATCTGCAGAAGCTATCTATGACGGGAGAGAGAAAATAAAGATCAATCATTTCTTTGATTGCCTACAAGACGTTGTCCGATTCTGATCAACACTTCCGCATTACTTGTCTCTTTTTTCGATCGTTGTTGGTAAACAATTTGTTACTCTTTGGGATTTTATTTCTTTGGAGGAATATGGAATTGAGAGGGCTCCTTGTGCTGATGCATTTTTCTTTCTTCGTTTTGCTTCTTGGGGTGAGTAGAAATAATATTGCTTTTGACTTTTACTTTCAAATTTGTGTGTTTTAATCATTTCTCTAATTATTAGTTGTAGACTTAGTAAATTATCATTAAAATAGTATTTTCTTTTATTATACATTTATAACCAATATTATATAGGGCCTAGACACAACTGTACAAGTTAATAATGCAAACTGAGATTTCGTCAAATTTGTTGAACACTCATTTGTCTTTTAGCTTTGTTGCAGGTATAGATCTCCTAATTGGATGATAAAAAGCAAATCTCCTAAACTAGTTTCTATGGTTTTGTTAATTGTAAACTAAAAAGGTTATAGTTTTGACATGCAAAAGAATCATATTATAACTTTGTGTAAATGAACGGTAACTTCAAATTTGATTGCACAAAATCTTTCTAAAAGGTGAATCCTTACATACGCCCAACGGTTGAGTGTTTGGTTATGTAAGAATTAAGTACATGATGAAACAACCACTGAAGGAAAAATGGACCATCGTGTTAAAACTTGGAATCCAGCAATTCGCCGTGGCTCTCATGTCATATTGTCTTATATATTGACTGCCACCGTTTGTTTGTTGGTTGTCATATCCACGTCAAGTTTATGGTGATTTTTGCATAATTAGCACCTCAAATATACTTATATTATATATAGTGTATATAGACGAACTAATCATGATTAATGATTGAATCGCATCTTGAAAATTTCCTACTATAATTTTTTTTATTTAACTATATATATATACGTGTAGATGCTTTTTCATGGTGATCCACTAACTTGTCTCTTACCTTAAACCTGATTGAGTCTTCATCTTCTTCTTTCCTTGGCCTTCCCCATCTTTTTTTTTTTTTTGAAACTCCCCTTTTCATAATTTCGTGAGAAATTATGGTTCTTCATTAATACTATTTTTGTAAATAATATGTTTTGTAATTTGTCAAGAGAGGCTTCTGAAAGAAGCATTGAATGAAAAGAAAGGCTGATTCTCTATTCTTCTACTTTTGTTTTCATCATTTCTTTTCCAACGAGTATCTAAGATTACAGGTGAAATTTTTGCAAATCATTTACTACTTTCTGTAAACATTAAACAAAAACAAATCAATGCTCTATTAGTGCTCATGTATTTAACCAGATGGTGTTGTTGTATATGATGATCAGTTGATCACATTATAAAATGTTTTAACGGCGTTCACCATCAGCTATGATATTTGTATAGATTCCATACCACTGATTTGACTTTCTAGATCGGATGATTCTTTTTCCTCTTAAGTAGTTTTAGCTATTTGTTGTCACAAAAATCTTTAATTTGGAAAATAAAATGTTGTTAAAGTATATAACAATAGCACTAATGTGCTTTTATAAATGTCAGATTTGATGCTTAGATCTTACAGTAAAAGATATATAGTCACAAAGGCATTAATTCCAATTTTGTTCCATGGAAAACCCTATTCATATCACATGCATTCTATACTCTTTTTCCCTTTATGATATTTCTCTACTTGTTTTTTTTTTATATATGTGAATTATATGCTTATTTAGTAAATACTGAAACCTTCATTTTTGCTAACAAAAACAAAACTTGAAGTGGGAGAGAGGAGACTGTTGTTGGGCTTCTTCAATCTTCACAATAAAAAGGAGTGCGGTAATCAAGTTTACAGAACCAATAATCTAAACGAGCTTTTGTTAAAAGTTTGCGGTTTTGTAATCTCTTCACCATGGCAATGAAAATGAAGGGCATCTACAAAGGCTTCAAATGCATCTCTAAAATATTTGGTAATCTTTACCCTTTTCTATCTTCATATACTTCGTAGTTTAGTTTCACATTATGTTAATACTACTTGAACAAATAATCTACATTATTTTACGTAACAGGAACATTTGATCACTTACAAAATGGCTATCACAATATAGTTTGCTAATCCATTATACTAAATGGATATCATTTATACGAGTTCCAGAAAGGGATATCACTTATACATAAGTTTGTAACTTGCTTCATGTAATTATTTGTAGTTGTAAGGAATATTTATTTATGTTTCAGAAAATAAAATTAATAATTTCTGAAGTAAAAACTGATTATTATGTTTCAGCCATGGAGAAAGAGAGGGAGGAAATAGAAATTGGGTATCCAACAGATGTAAAGCATTTGGCTCATATTGGATTGGAGGGTTCCTCTAGCACTGGTCCTGGTTGGGTAAGTTCAGTTAGTTGTTTTTCATTTTTTTCCTAATTCTTGTGTGAAAACTATACTATCTAATCAACAAGTAAACATTAAAATGTAAATCAGTACTTATAGCTAAACTGTTGAATTTATTGTGAAGATGAGTGAGTTTATGGTCGGAGCTGAGGCTTTATCTCCAAGAGCCTCATCTTTTAGTAATGCAAGACCTTCTTCTTCTTTTTTCACTTCTTCTTCCGCTGGTAAGTGTAATTAATTAGAAAGAAATAGCTAGATACACTACGTTGTTATTAATATTTTTGAATCATACTATGCTGATTTTGTATATGCAGATTTTGATCAAGGATCGAGTAGACGAACAGTATGTGATACACCAAGAGATATACCTCCAGTTACTCCAATTAATTTACCAAAAAATAACAAGAAGAAAAGTAGAAGAAAGAAGTCAGCTTCATCATCATCATCTCCAAAGTCTTCTAGATCATCTATTTTATCTAAATCTTCGTATAAATCCACTGTATCTCGACTAATCTAAAAGATATGATAATAGGCGCAAGGGGGGAAAAATTAAAAATTTCGATCGCTAATTTGTGCATACTTCAGGGTTTTTCTGATTTTTTCTATGTGTAGACATGTTGTAGTGTTTGGAGTTTGAATTTTTATGTAAATAAAAAGACAATAGGAAAGAAAAATAAAGCAATTTGTGTGAAATGGTGGTGACTTGTGTTGTCGTAAAATTTGTAAGGCTACATAAAAAATCTGCCAAAATACTAAAATTAAAATCCCTTTGTGCTCAAAATTTTTGTTTTATTTAAAACTTTATATTTTTTTTCTCAACCTTACAACTTTAGTTTTTTGATCCAGAACATAAACATTACTCTTTTTGGGTCAACTTTAGAAGGCTACTAAAAGCTCATCATTATATAAACTATCAATACACAATTCCAGAGCTTTATACCATCTTATCAGTGAGTGGAGTCGAACACTATGCTATGACTGTACGGTGAATTAGTTAGTGTAAACCAATGTCCTAAAAATCATTAAACTATGCTTAAACGAGGATTGTTGTTTAGGGGGATGTTTACACGGAATTTTTTTTTTTCAAATTGGTTTCAAAAAATCATTTTGTTCATACCTGATTTGAAGATGAGGCGGGCATCTAGGCACTGCCTAAATCGATTTCAGAACACTGGAATAAATTAAAGTAGGTGAAAATTTATTTCAATTCGTCTATCCAAAAAATGAGAAAATGAGAAAATAATGAAAATAGAATAAATCTTAATTACCTCAAATTTAACTTTTAGCAAGAGGAAAAGTTTTTTTCCCCCAAATTTTCATCTCAGTTTCAACATATTTTTCGTTTTTCTTACTCTAATAGATAACCAATCATCTTGAGAGTCCACCCCTAGAAGTCCTCACAGCTCCACAGTCGAGGCACCGCTGTTGGTTTCCTCCTTTGACGCCGGTGGTGGCTAACTCGCTGATTTTGGCTCAGAAATTTATCATTATTTAATATAATATATAAGTAACAATTATGTTATTTAAAATTTTAATATTTATAAACTTATCAAAAGGTAATATATATTTTTATAAATTTGAAACTCTTTATTAAAAGTTAAAATCTAAATATTAACAAAATTTTACCTATAATCATCTAATTTATTTGATATTATATATATGGTTTTTTATTTATTTTGCAGATGTGTTTTTGTCAATTTACAGATGTTAAGTGTGAATAATAAAAATGTAGGATTCTACTACATAAGAATTTTTTTCTTGTTGTAGCTTTATAAAGCTAAGTTATGATTAAAAAATAGTAGAGATTTTTTATGTTGATTTTAAACTTTAAAACTATAGCTAAAAAGCATGATTAGTAAGATTTAATTATTTTGAATAAATAAAACTAAAAACAAAAACTGAGTTCAATCCTAACCAATCACGTACTATTTTTTTTTTGTCTGAAACCAGTCACTTACTACATGGAAAATAAGTACATAACTGAATCAAGTAATTATAAATACTTGAATGACTTAGGGTTTTCAATACCCAAGATATCCAAATTGAATGGGTACTCAATAACCTAAAACTAGATGATATCCGCGCGCATGTGCGGGGTGACTTTTTTATATTAATGTTTGTTCGGTTTTAATATTTTGTAACACTATAGTCTTTATCTATTGTAAAATGACGAATAAAAGTGTTGGTCTCTTAAATATATCATATGTTTGAGCATTCGGAGATCAGTCGGTTTTGGTTTGATTGATTCAAATTTTCAAATTTTCGGCATTATGTTGTTTAGACCCATTTAGGTTTTAATAATTATCGGATCGGTTTCGGTTCAGTTCCTTCCGGATTCCGTTTGGATCGGATTGTAACCAAAATCTGAAATCGACCCAAAATGTTTTTGAAACCTCAAAATTGACAAAACAATTGTCAAAGTATTTCAATTTTTTGTAATCTAATTTAAAATGAGTTAAACTATCTACACTAACTAAATGATATTGAAAAAAAAATACAAAAATCTTTCGAATACAATAAAATATCTAAATTACCTTGATATATTAAAAACATTAACATATTGTCTGATTTCAGATATCTTCGGATTTAGTTCGGATTTTGGTTCGGTTCATATTATAACCAAATCCAAAGTACTAAGATCATAAATCTTGTTCGGATAATTTATAATAGCTACATTGGGTATTAATGAGAAATAAATATTAGACTGATCGAATCTTTCATTTTCGAACAAACTCAAAAGGATGTGATTAGATTTGTGATGATATTTTATTAACAACTTTTTAGGAATAAATATCAAGACTAAATTATTCAATTTGAATGAAATAATATATATATATAGTGCTTCCAATATTATAAATCACTTCGGTTCGAAGAAGTGTAATTCGCGGATTGTCAGGATCACATAACATATTAGAAACTATCTATTTAATAATTAATTTGTATACGTAAAAGTATATACATTAGAGTAAGCACATAAATCAAAACTAATACCTTTTGTTAATTTACAGTCATTATTTTGTATATAAATAAAAAAAACCATTTTATTTACTTTGTATTGTATATGGTTAACGTTATTGATATTGGCAAATATATATTACATTTAATTTATATTTATTATTGATACTTCCTACTTATATGATTTTATTAACATTTGTATATTTTTCTCTAACAAAAATTTAAATAAATCACAAAAAATTAATGTGAGATTGTTCCAGTACAAATTTTACAAATAAAATATTAAAATCTCAATAATTTTTCCCTGCAAATTTTGAAATTAACATATTTATATATTTTATATAGTATATAATTTAATTTAAATGATATTGATATATATATATATATATATATATATATATATAAAATAGTAATATCTATTAATGAGACTTCATATTCATACGATTTATAATCATTTGGATCTTGCATGAACAAAAAAATGTTAAACCATTGATCAAAATATTTCAATGTGGAAGTTTTACCATTTTTAGTAATGATATGTTGTATATTTACTTAGTTTTAACCTTGCATTCTTGTCCATGCTGAGCATATAGATTAGATTTAGGCATTCTTAGGTTGCATTTTGCATTCATTTGTCTTTATCAGATGGTGGAACATGCTATGGAGTTCTTAAAGGTGTTTGGGATCAATTATGTGCCAAAAGAGAGTGCAAAGATGTCATTTGGCGAGCCGGAGCAGCCACAGCGGAGTCAAGAGGTCGCTGCAAGCAACACCAGCCGGAGCGGGGTCACGGGGCGCAGTCAGGGGGTTGGCCCAGACCACAGCAGACCCACGCAGCGGGGCTAGGGGGCCGCTCGGCTTTTCAACAAAACAAAGAGCTTCCCAGCGGTGTGCCGCAGCTGGGTCGCAACTCCGCTGGAAGCTTGGCAGCGGGGTTTGGCAGCAGAGTTGTGACCCCGCTGTGCGTCTTTTATGTGGCGAAAATAAGACTTTGAGGACCTTTTTGCATTTTTCGTCTTTTATGTTTTGAGTTTCAGAAACCTAATTAAAACGACGTTGTAAGCCGTTTAGGCAGATTATCTTTTATTCTTGAAGAAAAACATCTTTTGGATTGAGATTTCTCTTGAAAACCTTGCACGCTTCGAGCCTTGAAAAGTTTTCTTGAAACATTTTTGATTGCTTTAAATTGACATTGTTCTTAAAACCAGCTCCAGTCTGAAATTTGGCTTAATGAACTTAATTTCTCTTGCATATGGGCACTTGCATACTTGATCATGGATCTCATACACATCTGGGTTATCTTATTCCATTTTACCACACTTTTGTTAACCCAAATGGTACTCCACACCCTTAACTTGAACCCAAGTCATTCTTTTGAGACCAAACATTTGATTTGCATGAGTGAGGCCTTCTTTTGATAGTTTGTCATGTGAAAAATCTTGAGAGTATTGGAGGCGACATAGGATTGTTCTCATCTCTTGCTAGAATAGGNACCCAAATGGTACTCCACACCCTTAACTTGAACCCAAGTCATTCTTTTGAGACCAAACATTTGATTTGCATGAGTGAGGCCTTCTTTTGATAGTTTGTCATGTGAAAAATCTTGAGAGTATTGGAGGCGACATAGGATTGTTCTCATCTCTTGCTAGAATAGGAACCTCTTTTGAGCTAGCATCTAGGATGGTGGGTGGACTTATGTGTTCTAAAGTTAATATCTTAGGCTTTTAATGAGAGATCATGAGAAAGTTTAAACAAAGTGTGTCTTGAGAAAAGAAGAAAGCCATTGGGGACTAAAAGAAAGAAAAGAAACTCTAGATTGTGTATTAAGGACCCTTCCCATAAAAAAAAAAAAGGAGAAACAAAGAAGTTTGGGGGAGGAGATGTGTAAAGAAGAAGAGTTGGAGTTACAAAGTAGAAAGCTTGTGATGAGTCCCTAGTTGGTTTTGCTAAAATAAATAAAAAAAGAAGAGAAGAACTTGTTCATTGGGTGAGTGATGTGAGCAAAGGTTATTTGGGGTATGAGATGAAGAAAGAAAGGGTTAGAAATTGTGATCACTTAGGAGAAGGGTAGAATGATGAGAACAAGGCTATGTATGTATCAGTTGCTTCTAGTCTTAGATAAATTTTGCATAATGATCAAGCTCCCTGTTCTTGAGTGATAGTCACTAATAATGATGTATTTGAACCCTCTTCTTCATTCTCATTAGACCTGTTGCTTGCCTAGCCAAATGATTGAGATCATGTGCCCATTTGTGAGACTTCACTTTGTGTGTGTGTGTGTGTGTGTGTGAACTAATGTGAGGGCTGGTTTAAAGACTTGTAAATTGAAAAGTATTGCATCTTGTTTAAAGGCATAAGAGTGTATTGATAGGCCTAGAGAAGCTAGAGTGTGATAAGAAAGTGTGCTCATGCTACTTGGAATGTCTCTTTAGGATGTTAAGTTGATCTCTTAGATGTGTTTCTCTTGGTTATGAGTTCCCACCTTCAAATCTCTCTTTCCATAAGTCCTTGAAAATTCACTTGAGGACAAGTAAATGACAAGTTTGGGGAAGTTGATATGTTGCATATTTACTTGGTTTTAACCTTGCATTATTGTCCATGTTGAGCATATAGATTAGATTTAGGCATTCTTAGGTTGCATTTTGCATTCATTTGTCTTTATCAGGTGGTGGAACATGCTATGGAGTTCTTGGAGGTGTTTGGGATCAGTT